TCTCCTTTCTTGCCCGCTACTTTTCTTAGCAGTGTATTCCAATAAATGTGCCTGTTCTATTCTCTACTCTGTCTCCGTTGAGTTTCTTTACTTCCCATTGGTCCACACCTGATTCTTCCCCAAGATATTTACCTCAATGAATAACAATACATTTTAATAAAAAGGAGGGGTGGGGGGAAGGTCTAAGTTAATATTAGGAATGAAAAGGAGATATTGCTGCAGTCTCACTCATGAACTTCGATGTATGTAGACTGAACAAATTGTTAACAAACAAAATCAATGTATAAAAAAGGATAAAATTTCATAACTAAGGGCCTCCCCTGGTGGCACAGCGGTTGAGCGCTGGGTTGCCTGGCTGCCCGCAGCCTCTGCAGAGCCAGTTCCAATCCCTGGCCACCGGCGAGGGTCCCACAAAAAAACTTCATAACTAAACTGGATTTATCACAAAAACATAAGAGGCAACATTAGAAAAAGCTATTTAATTTGTATTAGTTAAATAATGAAGAAAAATCTCATAATCATCTTAATATTTGTAGAAAAAGCATCTGATAACATTCTACATTCATTCATTATAAGCAAATAACATTCCCTCCACCCAGCAAAACAAGAATAGAAATACTTTCATTAACCCATAGGATAAGCTACCATTTAAAACATATTATTGATAACACATCAAGAATAGTCTGTTTGGTCCTCCCTGGTGGTGCAGCGGTTGAGCACTGGGTTGCGAAGCTGCCCGTAGCCTCTGCAGCACTGGTTCGATCCCCGGCCACCAGGTGAGGGACCCACATGGTGTGCAGACCTCTCCTGCCGCCCGCCGCTCCCCTCAGCAGTGTACTTCATCAGTCTGCCTGCTTTGCTCTCCGCTCTGACTCTGGTGAATTCGCTTACCCTCCCACGCTTCTGACTGTACGCAGTGCTTGTATAAAAAAATAAATAAGTCTTAAAAAAAAAGTCTCTTCAAGTTCAAGAATACGGAAAAGATGCTACTACTGCTTTTCATATTTACCTGACATTATGTTGGAAGTTCTAGATATCACAAAAATAAACTGTTAATGGTTTGAAAGTAAGAAAACTTATTTGCAGAAATATGAAAATGATATTCTGACAAATTATAAGAAACAAATTTCAATAAACTACTGGCTAGAAGATCACTATCCAAAATCCAATCAATGAATCAGGAAATAAAATATTTTCAAAGAGATGCAATTTTATCTAGATAATAAAAGGTAAGATACCCAGATAATATACAAATAAGATTTTTTTTTTTAAGATTTATTTATTTATGTATATAAGCACTGGGTACAGTCAGAAGCATGGGAGGGTGAGAGAATTCACCAGAGCCAGAGCGGGGAACAGAACAGGCAGAACGATGAAGTACACTGCTGAGGGGAGCAGCGGGCGGCAGGAGAGGTCTACACGCCATGTGGGACCCTCGCCCGGCAGCCGGAGAGATCGAACCGGTGTTGTAGAGGCTGCGGGCAGCTTTGCAACTCAGCGCTCAACTGCTGTGCTACCGGGGAGGCCCTACAATCAAGATTTAATGTGTAACTTATATGAAAAGTAGGAAATTCACTGAAATGCATTTTCAGTATCAGAAGACTTCGTTAAAGGTACATTTTATAATTTTGTATAGAAGACCAAAGGTTGAGGAAGAAAATCGTGCTGAAAAGAAGGATTTGGGGTTGGGACTGGCAGGGGACACCTAGCCTTAAGAGATATCAAAACTTACCATGAAGCTAAATAACAAAAATAAAGAAATGATACAGTGACAAATTGTCTACAAATAAAGAGCCCAGAAAAAGGCCAAGCATATATGGATACTTGATATATGACACAGCATTGCAATTCACTGTGGGGAAAGACTGTAGCCCTACTCCAAAAATGGTACTGGGGGAAATGATTATATATTGGGGGAGGGTCAGGCAGCATAAAGGAAGAAAGAAAAAAATTAATTTCCTTTCTCACACCAGGAAGTAAATTTCTGCTGATTAAGTACATAAAATGGGAAAGGCAAGTTGTCAATTTTTAAAAGAGTATGAAAACAGATGATCACAAGATAAAGATTTCTTTAAAACAATATAAAAGAAATATTAAAAGGTTTTAAAACCCAGTTCTATTAAGAACTTTGGTCAATCATGACACCATAAAAAAAAAAGGTAAAAAAAGAGAATGCAAAAATTAGAAGACACTAACACATAAAAAATGATTAGTATCCAAATTATAAAGACAAGTTCAGTAAAATATACTACAGTATAGAAAACTGGGCAAAACATGAGCTGTATATCTTCACTGAAAACAAAGTAAGTACATACATGAAAAAAATGCTCAACCACATTAGAAACCAGGGAGATGCAAACTCAAACTACAATGAGTCCTTCAGCATTAGTCTGAATATAACAATCACTAGTCAAGATGTGGATGAAGAGGGACATTATTGCTTTTATAGTATCAGAATGCAGAATGATACAATCACCACTTGGAAAACATTTTGGTACTCTCATATAAACATTTACATACTCCATGACTCAACAAATTCTCCCCTCAATACATATTAAGAGAAATTTATATATATATGTAGCCTCTATATGCTTGCCAACCCCAGTTAAGATGCTGCCCAAAACACTTCCGTATCTTGTCATTGACAACTCCACCTGCTCAGGCTCTAAAAAATCTGAATACCACCTTTGAATCTCTCTTTCACGCCCTCTATCCAAACTATGAAGACATTCTTAAAAATTCTAGTTTAAAAGTATACCCAGGGCAGGGGGGAAAAACCTTCAGAATTCAGATCCATTCACAGCTCTGATCACTCCTCCCTGGATTACTTCAGTAGCTCCCTAACTAGTCTTACCTTTCTATTTTCAGGACAGCAGCCAATTATTTTTAAAAATTCAGTCCAATCACATCATTCCTCTTTTCAAAACCATTCACTAGTTTCCCATTTCACTAAGTGTAAAAGAGATAGTTTCCCAAGAGTCAACAAAGTCCCTGACCTGGCCCCTCTCCTCTCTATACTTTCCCAGCACCTCTTCCATAATCCTCCCCCAACAAATTTCAAAGTAAGTGACCTCCACTGTTCCTTAAAAACACAGTAGGCACGCTTTGCCCTGGAGCTTTTACCCTGGCTTTTTCCTCATTCTGAAATACTTTTTGCTCAAAGATAATTGCCTTACATTCTTCAAATCTTTGGTAAAAGGTCACCTTCTCAATGAAGCCTACCCTGACTATTATAAATAAAACTGCAACCCCAATCAAAAGAAAAAAAAATAAAATAAGAGACATAAACAAAAAATTGCTTCAGAAAAAAAAGAAAACATACAAAGATACTCAACCTCCTTTATAATAAGAGATCAGCAAATTAAAACTTACACTGAGATATAACTTCTTACCTATCAGACTGGAAAAAATTGTTTACAATTGCAAAATCTTTAGCGAAAGTTTAAAGAGTAACTTAGATTTTTACAGAATCCTAAACTATTTTTTCCCCTTCCTTCCCCTTTACTTACTGATTACAGAGAGAAATAAAGACATTATAGAGGGTAAATGTGGCAGACAACACTTTAATCCAGATGAAAATTAAGATAACCAGTAGTGGGGGCGGTGGGAATCAACAATGTATGACTCCTGTTAAGGGGCACTGAAAAAGATCACAGGTATTCCAAAAACTGAATACAATCATGAAGAAACAAACTCACTTAAGTGACGTCCTACAGAACATCTGATCTATACTCTTCAAAAAACTTTGTCATTAAAAACAAAGAAAGTTTAAGGAATTCTTTCAAATCAAAGGAGGTTAAAGAGTCATTACTATGAAATGAAACATAATAATTGGGGTTTTCTTTTTGCTAAAAATGAAAGCTGGAAAAGCTGGATTATAGATAACAATACCATATATTGTGCTAATTGTCTGATTTTGGTAACTATATACTGTACCTAATAAAAAACAATTGTTTATAGGAAATACACTAGAGTAAAGGGGTACTATGTCTGCCACTTACCATCATGCCTTTCAGAAACTATAAATGAAAACCAAGTATGGCACAATTTAACATTTAGGAAATTTGAGTGAAGAGTACACAGAAATTTCTCTTTTACAATAAAGTCTGAAATTCTGTCAAAATAAATAAAATCAAAATGTACACACACACATATCCTTATATATATAACTATACAAGATTGCAAACTCTTTCTACTCCAAGTAGCCTTGAATCATCTTTAGGAGAATTCCTCTTTTTTTCCCTTTAGCAAACCACCATTGGCTAACATATGTATTATTATATTTATTCTCTCTTTCTAGAACATAAGCTCTAGGTAGGCCGAAAATATGTATGTGTGTTTTGTACACTGACGGATCCCAAATCTTTCTAACAGATGCTAATACACAGCAGGCAATCAATAAACACTTTCTGGAAGATTTACTGAATATACTAATAGATATGTGAAAGAACATTAATAGCAACATTTCTTGAAAGGAAACAAATCTAACAAAACCAAGTTTCCTGTACAAAAACTAAAAAAAAAAAAAGCAAACGTTTGGTTCTTTCACTCTACTGTCATAAATTATTTAAAGGGAAAAATGCAAAAACTGGGAGATTAACTTAAAACCAAGAGATTTATGAGGGAACCAAAAAAAATCAAATGTTATATTGAGATATTAAAATGTCTTTAATAAACATTATAAAAACTGACAGTGAAAGTCTAAGGCTTTTCTAGTGATATAAAAAAAATTAGTAGTATGATTCAGAGATTAAATAATCAATATAGATACTTACCGAGGTATAACCACATATTTCTAGAAAATAACTACTGCCTTTTTCTATAGCATTATTGGAAAATTCAAATATGAAATAATCTACAATAAATAAGATTACATACCAACATTATAGCTGAATCAGTCCATTATACAACTTTACCAGTCAGCACTTTAAACATCAATTTATGAACAAATAATTCATCAAGTATGGCCATCCAAAATGTCTAAAGCCTTCTAACATTACCTCTTCATCATTAGGGTCTACTATGGTTTCATCAGGCACTCGCTGGTTGTCAATGGTCTTGGGTGTAGGTTTTGGTGGAGCCTAAATAAAAGAAAAAACGATGACAACAGTTTACTATTAACAATTTTGTATTATGGGTGGTAAAGAGCAATAGAAATCTGAACATAATCCAAAAATTCAATCTGTTCACCTCACTTCAATCCACCACTACCCTAACAACATTGAGCAAGCTTTTTAACTCTGTGAGCAGACACACACACACACACTGGAAGAACTGCTAATATTGAATGAAACAGCTTAATGCCAGACAGACATAGCAAAGAAACTGGGACAAAATAATTATCCACTAAGAAGAAAATATGGACAGAATGGGGAAAAGAAAAAATCACAAAAGTACATAAATATGTAACTTTGTTCCAATACCTCCAAAAAACTATCCAGAAATAAATACCAAAAGCAACAAATTTGTTTCGATTTGCTGAACCAATTTCTAGTTAATTTTTACAAATGAAAGGTGGGAGTAATTTATATAAAAAATACATAGTATTACTATTGCTAATGAACAGCAAATAAGACAAATGCCCAACAACAGGAAAGTAATTAAACATATTATGGAATATCAACATTATAAAATACTGTTGGAATCAGCACTCAGGCATACTCAGCTTAGACCAAAAATTGAGTAAATGAAACAGCAAGAATAAGAAACACAAAATTGTAAGCACACACTAAAACTAATTCAAAACACATGCGCATTAGCAGAGATAGGGGAAAAAAAATATACTATTTAGGATTTTGAAACAAATATTAAGTTCTAAGTAATTTCTTGTTTTAGGAAGTAATCTTTTTTCCCCAAGAAACAAGAACTGGTACTATTTTCAAATAGTGATCAGGATAGAAATTTGCTATAACTGATTGAATATCAAGAGTTAGAGACTAACACTGCATGAGATGGGTAAAAATTTTATTTACCTTATCACCAAGAGCCTCTCTTTCCTTTTTAAGCTTTTTCTTAGCTGCCAATTTTTCCTAAAGGGATTAAAAAAAAAATTGAGAAACCAAGTTATATCACAAACACATACTAAAACTACAGGTTACTAATTCGATGAATACTTAACCTGAACAATCTTTGTAGTCTATTAAAATAAACATCTTAAATAGATTTTCATATGCAAGCTATTGTAAATCAAATGAACTGGTCAATAAATAACATTTCTTTAACAAAGATCTTTGCTCTTTCAAAAAAAATACAAATTTATAAGTTTGAATACTTAAAATTTCAACTAACTTTAGCTTTTTAATATAAGTATCAAGTTAAGGAATAGTGCAAAATGTATACTAGACAAAACAACAAGTTTTTGTTGTTTTGTTTTGCATTACTAACAAGTTTCAACCTAAAATTAGACTAAGGTTATGCTGGTTGCTTCTCCTGGAAAGCACTAAATATAAATGGGAATAGGAGATGAATTTTCAGGTTGTTTCCAATAAAACTATCACTATCCACAAATTTTATAACCAAATATGCTTTGAAAACGATTAAGAACTTGCAAGAATTGTGTGTACTGTAAACATCTCTTTTAAAGATTTCTTAATAGAGTGCTAGATACACAATACATCTCCTTACCTCTGCCCCAGCACCTACAGACCCATTCTTCAATCCATCAGGTTTCAGATTACAAACTACTGTCCCAAGAAGTGTCCCAGAAACACCATTCCCCTATACTAGTACACCGGAATGAATTAAATGCTCCTTTTATGTTGTCCAACAACTCAGGCATTTAACGATGGAAAAAAAAAAAAACACCACCAGGCCACATCCTCAAAAAGTCTAGTATGAAGACACAGGCAAGTAAAAACATCATGTATGTGAACTTGTATAATGTGCAGGAATAAGTAAATATTTGCTTCCGATGGCAATTTAACCACAAATGAGCAGCGTGGCTTGGTGAAGGTATCTATAACCCTGTTTCTCTCTTCCTATCTACTTCTAGAACAGTATGAAGATAACGTTGCAAAGAGTATATGCAATTGGGCCTCCCCGGTGGCGCAGCGGTTGAGCGCTGGGTTGCGAAGTGGCCTCTGCGGCGCCGGTTCGATCCCCGGCTGCTCCCCGGCCACTGGAGGCGGGTCCCACATGGCGCGCAGACCTCTCCTGCTGCCCGCTGCTCCCCTCAGCAGTGTACTTCGGTCCTTCTGCCTGCTCTGCTCCCCGCTCTGACTCTGGTGAATTCTCTCACCCTCCCGCGATTCTGACTGTACCCAGTGCATGTATAAACAAAACAAACAAACAAATAAAAAAAAAAAAAAAGAGTATATGCAATTACTAGAAACGTTACAGCACAGTAACATTTGCTTCAAGAAGAAGCATCAGTTTCGACGTATGTATTGCCTGTGTTACATATTCTAGGAATTAACTAACGATAGGTGGAAGGGACGAAGCGAGAGAGAAAATCTTCAAGGTCAGGAGAGGATAATATCCACTATCAGGAGGGCAGGACTGCTTGCTCTTATTCTCAGTTGAGGACCCTACATAGCAGCTGGTAAAGAAAGAAATAGTTGAGGCTCAGGCAAAAAGCTGAACCTGGAGAGCTGCCAAAGCAGTTCGGGGTGTCTGGGACCCAGAATCGCGATTTCGCCTGTCCCCATCAATCACCGCCAGCGGAAGCCCCTGGCAGCTGCCGTCACTCCAGTAATACGCTGCCCACCGTGCTCCAGCGCCGGGAGGGACAGTGCGCATGCGCCCGGCCGCCTCCGCCCCTCTCCCACCTTCCGCTGCTGCTGTTTCCACCGCGTGAACATCAAGTGCCGCCGCTGTTTGTTCTTAATCTCCGAAATGCTGAAGCCGGGGGGGAAAGCAGTCGCTTTCGGGGGTTGGACCCCACTTTCGGTCGTCCCATCCTCAGCGACTGCAGCCTCCTGGGGCTCTTCATTAATGGCTTTTCGTTTCAGGCCTTTCTTCCCGCTGCCTACACTTTTATCAGCGGCCTTCGCCATGTTTGCTTCCTCAGTAGGGAAACGGAAGTGGCTGCCTCCTCTGACCCTTCCGTAAGCTTTTACTTCCGGGTTGGAAAGATCTTAAAGAAACAGATTTTTTTTTTTTTTTGAAGGTGTTAAAATTTCAATTTAAGGAAAGTTTAGAGGACTTACCCAGCTTCTTGAACAACAAAATGATGAGTTAGTGGGATGTTTCTTGAGCGTTTACTATGTGCTGAGCTCTCAAAATAGTGACATAAAAAGCACTTTGCCATATAGAGTTTACTGGAGAGAAACTTAAAATGAGCACACAGATATGTAGTGTGGAGAGTTATAAAGTAATGCACGGTATGGAGGAAATAGAATAGGATAATAGAAAAGGAGAGGGTGATAGGGAAGCTTTTAAATGGGATTCTCAGTAGACGTTATTGGAAAAGTTACACTGAACAAAGATTTAAGGTAGTAATGAGATAAACTATGCAGTTACCTGAGAGAAGAGCTGCTAATCTGAAAAAAAATAAAATAAAACTGGTTATTTAGAAGAAAAATTATTCTAGGGGAGAGGTTAACAAGTATATCCCAAAAGAGAGAAGTTCTGTAACGGTTACCATGTGTAATTCTGACCAAATTTAGACTTCTACCTTCTCATTGTCTTCAGAAAGCTGGAGTAGATATATTTGTAAATCTTGTTGCCATCTCAGAATGCATATAAACCCATCTCAGAATGTATATAAACCTATATAAACCCGTTTGTGGAGATTAGATTTCCCAGACCAGTGATAAAAATATGTATCCTTCTTGTTTGTATGTATTTTCAGTTTATATTTGTTTTTTCCCATATTTATGACTTAATTTTCTGTAACATAAAAATTATTATGTAAAATAAAATATTCTGTACTATAACGTTCACGGGAATAAAATATAGCACACATTCTGTACAATAATCAGAGATACAAATATTGAAAATATAAAGTAATGAGCAACTACTAACAGTTCTCGAACTCTTTGTCTCAGAATCTCTGTTTACTCTTCAAAATAATTGAGAACTCCACGTGCTTTTTGTTTATATGCCTTACATCTATCAGTATTTATCATGTGAAAATTAAAATTAAGAAAATGTATAAGTACCTAATAATAAACATTTTGAAATACAGCATACAAACTATATGAAGATGTCTGTATTTTCCAACATACACACGCAAATAGAAGAGTGGCATTATTTTACATACTTTATAAATCCTTTTTATGTCTTGTTTAAGAGAAGATAGTTGACACTGCAGAAACATCTTTAAAGACACATCCCCCAAAGCAAAGATAGTGAAGGAAAGGATAAACAGCTGGGACTGCAGCAAATTAAAGAGCTTCTGTACAGCACAAGAGACAGTAACCAAAACAAAGAGACACCTTACTGATTGGGAGAAAATTTTTGCATACAATACTAATGATAAAGGACTGATCACAAAGATCTACAAAGAGCTGATGAGATTCAATAAAAACAAAGTACATAGAGCCTCCCTGGTGGTGCAAGGGGTTAAACACAACCTATGAAGCTTTCCACAACCACTGCAGCAAGAGTTCGATTCCCCAGCTGGCCAGGGAGCAGCCACATGGGGCAGCAGACCTCTCCTGACTTGCCTGCTGCTCCCTCAGCAGTGTACTTGGGTCAATCTGCCTGTTCTGTTCCCCACTCTGTCTCTGGTGAATCCTCTCACCCTCCACACCTCTGGCCTGTACCCCAGTGTATACATAAATAAATAAAAAACAAAACAAAACAAAACCAAAGTAAATAGCCCAGTCAAAAAACAGGCAGAAGAGCTAAAAAGAAACTTCTCCAAAGAGGAAATAAATGCAGATGTCCAGCAGGCAAATGAAAAAATGTCCCACATCACTTGTTGTTGCATAAGGTGACCTGAGGACGGCAAGGGAAAGGGCTGACCGAACCGCTGAGAAAACTCGCGTGTGCCAGGGCGGAAAACCGCCTGGGAGGGACGCCCTGAACTTGCTTTGTCCTTGGAAGTCTCCTCGGTTGTAACTTAGCAACAGAGGCTCACAAGGACAGGCATGTCTGATATGCCCAAGGACTCACCTACGTGGTGTGTATGATCACGTACATGGTGTGCGAGGAAAGGTTTTGGCTTTCTCTGACTTTTGATAAAACGCAGATGTGTTTGTTCATAATTCCTATATAACCATGCTGAGAAAAATAGAGAATCACTGCTTGTAGCTGACAGCTGTCCACTGTCTGGTGGGTCCTTCATGATAAGCATCCCAGGTCTCAGAGTCCACTAGAGGCTCACACTTGTAATCAGGGAAATGTAAATCAAAACCACAATGAGATATCACCTTACACCAGTGAGAATAAAAAAAACAAAACAGGAAACAACAAATGCTGGCGAGGATGTAGAGAAAAAGGAACTCTCCTACACTGCTGATGGGAATGCACACTGGTCTGACCACTATGAAAGTTGTGTGGAGGTTCCTCAATCTGCTAAAAATGGAGCTTCCATATGATCCAGCAATTCTACTCCTAGGTTTCTACCCAAAGGACACAAATACATTAATTCAAAAGGACACCTGCGCCCCTATGTTTATTGCTCCACTGTATACAATAGGTAAGCTATGGAAACAACTTAAATGCCCAAAAATATATGACTGGATCAAGAAGATGTGGTATATATACACAATGGAATATTACTCAGCAATCAAAAAAGATAAACTCATGCCATTTGCAGCAACATGGATGGAGTTGGAAGAGCTCATGCTTAATGAAATAAGCCAGAAGAAAAAAGAAAAATATTGGATGGTTTCATTTGTAGGAGGAATGTAGAGGATCCAAATAAGGGATCAGGGAAAAAAAAGTAATTATAATAAAGTAAAAATCAAAAGTAACAGGCAACGATAAACCAGAGACATTCTGCAGGTGAGAAGGGAGTAGGATCAAAATGGATAGGAAGAGCACAAGGGACTATGATGATGGTACACAGGTGAATGGGTGGTGGGAATTTCATGGGGGCTATTACCAAGAGGAAAATGCATACATTGTACAAAAATGAAAAATGATGTAAAAATATATAAAATAAAATAACAAAAAATAAGAGAAGATAGCTGGATTTATGTCTAACTTCTACCTTTAATCCATTGTGATGTACCATTTTAGTTGAAGTATATGAAGAAAGTATGGCATCAAACAGGTATGTGATTGGAAAAGGGAAGAATATTTACGAGTTTTTTCAAATAGTTATGGGTAGTCTTCAATGTTACACCAAAATCTGAAAAGTGGTCATTTTCTTAAAGGTTTGTTACTGTGTAGTTGTAACCGGAATTCATATCAATGCACTCTTTATATTCTATTACATTAAAACTTATTGGTATATCTGGCATATTAAATGGATCTTTTATTCACACATAATTTCAAAACCCCAGGTATTCATTTGGGTATAATGATTTGCTAAGTTATGTATATCTACCAAAAGTCAACACATGTAATTATAAATATAAAAAATTCACATATAATAAAATCACTACTAATCACATTAGAAAAGATTCCAACTACTGGTATGTTGTTAAGTTTATAATGGTGGATACAAGTTTTCAAAATTCTGATTTTTTACTTAAATAGGAGCTTTCTTGGCAATGTCAGTGCCCACAAGTCAATACAGGTGTTGAAGGCAGGGCTTTAAGGTAGTGAGGAATTGTGGGTGCTGAGGGTCTGTGTGTATGTGTGTGTGCATGTGTGTGTGTAGTGTATGTACTGATGTTGGTGTCTCTTTCCAGGGCTATTTCTTAGACTATACCACCTTTTTGTTACATTCCTTCATCTGCAGACCCCTGAAGATTGCCACCAGTAGTTAACAAGAGCAACTTTACTGTCAAACCTCTAATGTATTCTGGGAATCTACTTATTCTGGGAATCTACCGTACTCATTTGTGCAGAATGCAAACCCCCAGATGATGGATACTAAAGCAGCATCTTGGGAGAGACAACGTTTATACTGTTTGTTGCTTCTGAATAAGAGTTTTCTTCTTTTCTGAATAGCTACAGAAAGGAATGTGTTCTCACAGCCTCTTCTCTTCTGATTGAGGCAATCAACAAATGTTTTCAATTTCTGTGAAATTATCTGTATATAACTTTATATATGTATATATATTAAAACCAGATGAAATTTAAAAAAAGACTCCTATCCTTTATTTATTTATTTATTAAGATTTTTTTATTTATTTATACAAGCACTAGGTACAGTCAGAAGCGCCAGAGAGTGAGAGACTTCACCAGAGCCAGAGCGGGGAACAGAACAGGCAGACTGATGAAATACACTGCTGAGGGGAGCAATGGGCATGGTAGGAGAGGTCTGCGTGCCATGTGGGACCCTTGCTGGCGGCCGGGGATCGAACTGGCGCTGCAGAGGCTGTGGGCAGCTTCGCAGCCCAGGGCTCAACTGCTGCGCCACCAGGGGAGGCCCTCCTATCCTTTATTTACACTCTAATGTTTTTTTTTTTTGTTTTTTGTTTTTTGTTTTTTTGTTTTTTCCTCCCAAAAATGAAAAGAAAGCTTATTTATTTAGGAGGAACAACAAAAGTCAGTAGCTTTTTGGAATTTCCATCACTGGAGCCAGGAGGGCCTCTTGGAGACAGAAAGATAAGGAGGTGAAAGAACAGTTTGAGGAGAGGCCTCACTGGTGGCACAGGGGATTAAGCACGTTGCTGTGAAGCTGTCCGCAGCTGACCAGGGAGCTACCCACATGACGCAGCAGACCTCTCCTGTCTCACCTGCTGCTCCCCTCGGCAGTGTGTTTCAGTCAGTCTGTCTGTTCTGTTCCCCGCTCTGTCTCTGGTGAATCCTCTTACTGTTACAGGGCTGCCCTGATATAAAACGGGTTGCCTGGCTGTGGGTCCTCACCCGCGCACTTAAAGGGACTTACTAACACTCTACTGCAGGCACACACAAAAGGTTTATAAAAGGGTTATTTACAAGGAAAGGGCAAATGAGGAAATGTACAACTCAGGGAGAAAAGTGGGAGATAAAGTCTTAAATGTGTCCTACCTGATCCGCCGATCTGGAATCCCAAACGGCACTCTGAGAGCTGGC